TAACTATTATTTATTGATACAACAGTAATCACAAAAAAATAACTATCCAAATATCCACTTTCCCAGTTACAAGTGGCGTGACAACATACGAGTATCTACCCACTACCGCAGTCAATGTATGCGGGTAAAAATGCATGTACAACAAAAATTCTTACACGCCACTTCATGCTCGAAGCCACGTTTAAACGGATATTATAAATATTAAAATCATTGTTACAATTTCACATAAGAAAGTAGGCATCAATTGGCATTCGACGCAGAAAAATTAATACATACCAAAGTATGAAAAGCATTTCAAGGAAAAGTAAAATAGTTTCATGGAAACACTCGCGTGCCTTATATACACGCCATTTTAGAAACTCAATAAATCTTGGGCTGTGTAATTAGATTCCATTGCTACGTTTTCATCATATTTGTGTCATTAAGAAAATATATTGGATGTCGTTGACAAACAAATCATTTTAACTTTCTTTGACTTTTATTTCTGAAACACATTTATACGCATGACTACCTCGGTGGTGCAGTAGGTAGCGTATGTGATTGCTGTACAGAGGTCTCGGGTTCGATTCCCGGATCGGACCAAATGTTAGTACTCGTATGATATATTTACAAAAAAAGTAAATCAGTATTCTATTAGTCAATCTAGCTTTCATAGTACAAGCTCTGCTTAGTTTGAAACTGGCGTTGATGGCGTTGTGTGTTAGATGTCCGAAATATATATATATAAAAATATGGTATCTTCATCATTTTCATTTTTGTATCCTTTTCCCAATTTGAGTGCATAGATGGCGTAATGGTTTAAGCGATCACCACACCGCTTGAGTTATGAGTTAAATCCCCACATGGGACAACACTTTGTGTGTGTTCTGAGTCTAGGTGTCCTTTGCGTCCGCTTCAGGTATGTCTGTAAAGTCTCCCGTGACACACAATATATGCCTAGTGCGAAAATTGATCTTTTTTTTAAAAGAAGGAAGATAAGAGGCTGCGAGCTGATGGCTTAAACCACTACACCATGCGTGCAGTCAAAACATCAATGGAGCTAATCTGTTGTCTAACATACTTTCATTATTTCAATGAGCTCTCAAAACACTTCTGATTTACAAAATTTTGTTTCTCTAATTTTATTATAATCTATTCAGTTTATTTCAAATTGCCTTTAGAAATATTGTAGGAATATTACCTAGTCCACTGCTGAACATAGGCCTCTCCTTAGAAAGGAGGTTTTGGCCTACTATACCACGTTGGAGAGACTTGGCCAGATCGGCTTAGGGTTTGTTATAAGTTTTCCTTCTCTTTGCAGTGCTATTGTCCTGCGTAGTTTGCTCTTTTGGTCGGCTCTTATGAAATCCCCGGGAGACACTCGGTATCCTTTATCCGTTACCACACGGATTCTTTTATTATATTAATTTATTATGTTCATGGAATGAACACTATGGAAGTCTTACAGCTAAATCAATAGATAAATTGTAGAATAGTATTAGAAAACCAATTAGTAGATGAATGAGGAATACATTTTTGGGGCATTTGCATGGAACATTATTGCTAATATTATTTAATAGATCAGAACAATCTATGTTATTTTCTAATATTTATAAGAACAGTAAATAGTAAGCAATTTCTATACGGTACTGTAATGGCAACAGATGATATTTCTTACAGAGTTCTATGTAATTATTGGAATTATCCTCACGAAAGCATGAATATTTGACTGCACGGATGGCGTAGTGGTTTAAGCGGTCGCCACGCCGCTTCCTACTACGCCGAGTGTTGTGGGTTCAAACCCCACATGGGACGACACTTTGTGTGATCCACAAATTGTTATTCTGAGTCTGGGTGTTCTTTGTGTCCGTTTCATGTATGTTTGTAAAGTCCCCCGCGACACAGGATTTATTCCTAATGCGGGAGTTGTCTTTTTTAAAAAAGAAAAAAAAAAAGAAAAATATTTGAGAAAGTGTTTTTTGTATACCATCTATCCAGTCAACATGTTTTGAAAAAACGGGTTTGATATTTGAGAATCATATTCCAAATTTGAACGGACAAAAGTACAATACAGGATTTAAGAGGTTAACTTCCGTGAAGCATTTAGAGATTGATGCACATGTATACGTCAAACAGAAGTTCAGAGTCCTGATAAAACACACCTAGGTCTCGGATAGTATTGCATTTGGGTAGGTTTAGACCGCATAATATATAATTTGATACTACTTAGCTTCCATGAATACGTGACTACCGAGCATTTTAATGGATGTGAGGAGTATGACAATATTCTTCCAATCCCAATAAATCTTCCTGAAGAGCAGCCGTGACATAAGTCGAGAGAATATTTGAGTAGATCTTCATATCGTCAGCGAAGTATAAAATTCCGGTCGATGTCGTTTATATAGGTGATCAATAATAAAGGATCGAGTACGGATCCTTGAGGGACGCCGCTAGGCACATTAACTATAATTATTTAATACTACGGCTTGCGATCTATTATATATCTAAGATTAAAACCATCTTAGCAAATCTGACCAAACACCTATGCTATTTAATTTTAATAATAGGATATAATGTACATATTTAATACAATGATTATAATGTAATCCTTTGTTAACCGGTAATGGATGGTTGTCTAAAACAGCGTCAAACACACACAACATTTTAGATGTCAAATGTCCTTGAATTATCTTGAGAGGTTTCTACAAATTACACCAATTGAATCGTTCCCTTTGCGCGCAATACACCCATACATACGTAGATATTGGTTCCTATAACACAGCGTCTACGCTCAAGAGCAATTGACGCGGGTCAGATTCTGAATTACTACTTTCAAGAGGTAAAATTTAACTGTATGGAGTGAGCAGCTCGCAATCAGTACCTCCACCCGATCAAGTATACTTAATATGAGCTTGGATGATTCGTAACAAGTAACAAAATGAAAACAAAACGTTTTCATCAATTTTCCAATATTTGCTCAAAAAGTATTTGTATATATAGCATAACAAATCGTAAATCCAAATAAATGGCAGCACATAAATTGCATACAAAGTTCTAAAATTTGAAAAAAATAAAAAAAGTGGAGGAAAAATATGGTGTGTTTTAATATTTCTTTAAAGGTTTAGTCACTTTTCATCTATGTATTTTGTTAAATCTAATACAAAGTGACAAATTAGTTTTTTTTACTTTAATTTAAGTTTCACTAAACTGGCGTTCCTGGTAACCCGGATTCATTGCTCTAGAGTGTATAGTACACTTTGTGATCAAAGGATTCTTGAATCTCAATTCGCCTCATTAATGCTTTTACTTGTATTATATATGTTTCCTGTATATGCATATAGTACATGTTATACGCTCTCAAACTCAAATTATTTTTATCTAATTGTAAAATTTTCGTATGTAAGAGTAAGGTTAATAAAATCCTCTAATACCTTCTAGAAAACCCAAGATTTATGCGATAGTTTTTACATCATACACATGTACATACTTCTTCACTGTTCACTCTTTTGAGTATGAAGGTTTGGCCTGGTCTGTCTACACCGAGGTAAAATGCTGCATGAATGGCGTAGTGGTTTAAGCGATCGCCACTACGCTTACTATTACTACTACGCTGAGTATTGTGGGTTCGATCCCCACATGGGACGATACTTAGTGTAATCCACAAATTGGGCTTCGTCTTATCCAGGGCCAACCGTAAGGAGTGGGAGTTCTCTCGCTCGATAGCCTGATTGTTGCTATCGTGCGGAGCGAGAGTGCGTGGAACTCTGCCGTCTCCTTCTGCGAGCAAGTTATGCTCGCGAAGGAGACGGCGGAGCGGGACCGGGAGAGGTTTAGGACTCTCCCGGCCCGCCAGGCCCGGGAACGGGCCAGGTACGGAGAACGACCTCCGTCCTCCATAAGCGCAGGCCTGGGGGTGACAGGTGAGGCCATCTGTCACCCTAGGAGACGCAGGCCGGGGTGGAGGCGAGCGCGTTGCGAAGCGCGCTCGCTTTCCGGGAGCACAGGGAACATGGGGTTCCCACACGGGGGGGGGGGGGGGTCGTCTACTCGTCTGTAGATGACCCGAGGTATGTCGGGGCACCAAGGACTTCCTTTCTAGGGTATACCTGGTTCCACGGCTATTAGTACCCGAGACGGAGTGCGGTGCGGACAGAAAGATAGTTGTAAGAAAAATTTGTGACAAATAAACAAGATACTTTTGATTAAGTTTCATGTGGTGACGGATTAAGAATATGGAGTGTCTCTGCCCCAATTTATCCTGTGGGTGTCTTAAGAGCCGACTAAAGGAGCAAACAACAGCAGCACTGTAAAGAGAAGGAAAGCTTGACCTATGTCCAGAGGCCTTTGTAAAGCAGTGGATTAGTATAGGCTGTTGATGTGATGAATATTCTAAGGTAAAAGGTCTGAAATCCTTGTTGATTGTATTGAATCAATTCAGAAACGAATTATAAAATACTTATGCTTTCATCCAAAAGATTCCTTACGACTCTGCTAATTATACTAATCTATGCAAGAAATTTCATGTTCTACCTTTAGTAAAGCGCCGTGAGATTGCTGACTGTACCCTTTTATTAAAGATCACTAATAACGACTTTGACTGTTCAGAACTCATGTCTAAATTCTCATTAAATGTCCCATCCAAATTCCCACGCTTTAACCCACCAATGAAAGTAGCATCTGCCTGTACCAACTATAGATAGAACAGCTACGTAGTGCAAGCGAGCCGTAATTTTAATAACCTGTGCAAACAGTACGACTTCTATAGTTTTTGCACAAAAGTCATCTCAGTCAAGAGTTTTTTTAGCATATATATATATATATATATATATATACCACAAGTGGAGACTTGTCCGTGGCTGACACATTGTTATATTGTTCACTAAAATGTTATTTTAGCTGTAAGTCTTCCAAGTTCGTTAAATAAATAAACAAAAAAAAAATTAAGTTTTGATTGGGTAGGTCAGCATTTCCAGACAAATATATTAAAAGTACTGAAACAAAAAAGCCGAGCGAGTACTTACGTATTTTGATACCCGTGCCTTTTTTGTCTTCTTCTTTCTCCTCCTCGTTTTTACTGCTAGACTTTTTCCCGTTCGGATCCGAAACATCTGAAAAAAGACAGTTAATAAAAAACTTATATATTGACAAATAATAGTTTTTTATTTTTTTCTCGTTTACTACAGCACTCAACTCAAAAGAAAATTATATTAGGAGAGCCTAAATAAAAAAAAAACAAATCTATTCTAAACATATGGAGCTCTGTGGTAACAACCATAAAAAAACCGCCGAATTAAGAATGAATTCTTTTTTTAAAGACAGTAAAAAACCCAGTAGCCAAAGACATTATTTTCATTTTCTTTTATTTATGTTAGAGGGGGCAGACGAGCAGATGGGTCACCTAATGGAAAGTGACCATCGCCGCCCATGAACGTTTGCAACTCAGGAGTCACAAACAGAGTTTTAGGAAGGAGTACGCTCTTTTCTTGAAGGTTTGAAAGTCGTATCGGTCCGGAAATACCGCAGACGATAACCCGTTCCACAGATTGGTTGTGCGGGGCAAAAAGTGTCTCGAAAAGCGCACAGTAGTGGAACGCCAACTATCCAGGTAATGAGGAAAAAATAAAAATGTAAAAATAATGTAAATGTAAATGTTTTTCATAGACAGTATCTATGAAAAACATTTATTTATTTATTTCATCTTGTGTACTTTTATCACCCACATAAAGCATGATAGTAAAAACCTTCAAATTTACAGACAACTTAATATTTAAATTAGTTTAATATTTATTACACAATTTGTGGACATCATTAAATAAGTCACTATTAATATTAATTTAACTAGTAATGATTGTTTGATATTGTGTTTAAACTTACAATGGTAATAAACAAAATACAATGTATCTATATATCTATGTATCGTCTAGTCATGCTATAACTTGAAAACGGCTTTACCGATTTCATCCATTTTTTTTTTACTGTTTTCTAATACTTCGTAGAAGGTTCTTACATTAAAAAAAATAAGAAAATTGCGCAGAAACTTAGAAAAAAATTTACGAAAACTTAACGCTACCTTTAATATAAACTTTTTTAATGTAACCTTAACCCCAACACTTAAGCACGTTTGAAATAATTGTCAGTTGTTCAGACAGATCGCCCACCGCCAATATCGTTTACAAAGATCGCATATTTCAAGCGTAGCGTTATATTATCTTTCGGTTACTTAGTTGTATCGGTCGGAATCAAGGACTTGATCACGGAAATCCATGGTCGGCATTAAGAACTAATTATAATCCTTACCCAGCTCCCTGGTCGGAATAATATCTATGAGGTAAAATTAAACCATTCTACTTTGATTTTGCATGTTTTTAAAGAATTATGGCTTTCATCCTGACTGCTAAGCTAAAGGTCGTGGGTTCGATTCCCACCCAGGATAAATATCGTGTGATGAGCACGGTCATTTGTTCTGTGTCTGGGTGTAATTTATCTATAATATGTATGTATTTAGAAATATATAAGTATGTTTATCAGCGGTCTGGTTACCATAGTACAGGCTCTGCCTAGTTTGGGATCACGGCCTTGTGTGTGTGAGATATATTATTATTAAAAAATTACAAACATATACAATATCAAAATATACAACAATATAAATATTTTTTATTAGTATAGTACTCTAGTTTAAATTGAATGACAGGACAACGTCTGTCGGGTCAGTTAGTTAATAATAACTACTAGACTAGTATAGGCTGTTGATGTGTGATGATGACTAGCAACTCGCCCAGGCTTTCTGTAAATTTGAAAGCTTTTACTATCCTCTTTTGTGTGGGTGATAAAAGTACACAAGATAAATAAATAAAGTCTTTATTCACCTGGGTGAATCAATTCCGAGGTGAACAAAGGCCTCCGCTTATGTCGAATTATTTCACCTAGGTGATATCACCTAGGTGAAATTCTTCTAAAATGAAATGAGGAAACCAAAAAATCTACTGTATTCACCCAAGTGAACATAGTGGAATAAACCAAGGAATCCACTTGTTGCTGTAGTTTCAGTAAGTAAATAAATCCAAAACAGTCTTCTTATAATATTTACTGTGGTAATCCAAATACTCCCTATTCCCTACATCTAATTTAACTGCTCATAAATTTTAATGGATCTGTTTCATGTTTCAGCTTTACAACTTTCACTGATATAAAATTCAACATTTTATTATTTGTCGACAAGAAATTTTTACTGCGGACAATATCAAAATGGTAATTTTCATGTATAACCTATACTGATCGCTAAAATAGTAATAGAGATGGGTAGGAATTGCAAACATCCGAATCATTAACGTCATCAACAGCCTCTAATAGTCCATTGCTGGACATAGGCCTCTCCTTAGAAAGGAGGTTTTGGTCTACTATACCATGCTGGCCAGACGGGTTGGTGGTTAGGAGGCTGGAGTATCACTCTTTTCTTGTCTTTATGCCGAAACGTGGTTCTCACATAGGCAGAAACCAGTTTTTAAATATATAGCCACCTAAGAAGAAATGCGGCAATTGAATTCATAACACTGTTTTAAATCACCAGCTAGTTATAATCGCCATCATCATCATCAACAGCCTTTAACCACTGTCCACTGCTAGACAAAGGCCTCTTCTTAGAAAGGTTTGGCCTTCTATACTACGCTGGCCAGACGGTTTGGTATAGGGTTTGTTTCAAGTTTTTATTCTCTTTGCAGTACTTTTTTCCTACGTAGTTTGCTTTCTTGGTTGGTGACATTCAGTATTCTTAATCCGTCATCACCTGGACATCCGAATAACAGAAACGTCTCGATCACCTCTTGAGTGCTGGTCTGAGTGAGAGAGTGCATGTTACTTCAGCAAAAGTGCATATAGAAGAAAGAAATTTGATGAAGGCATCCAAGGTCCATTGAGATTTCATGAATTTTCTTCAGAGGTCATGTAAATAGACCCATTTGTGTCAGAGCACCATGTGGTTTGGTTTCGAGATACCCGTTCACCGCTATCTCAGGTAAGGTGGTTTACAGAGAGGTCTTCAAGAAAATAAACATGCTCACCGTGGGAGAGCCATGATACGGCACGAATGGGCCGGCTCGACCGGAGTGATACCACGGCCTCACAGAAAACCGGTGTTCAGCAATTCTTTCGTTGCCTTTCACTAAGTGAGTGAGGTTACCGGAGCCCAAATCCCCCCTCCCGCTGACTCGAGCGGGAGGGACTCCAAGGGCGGCAACGCACTTGTGACTTTTGAGTTACAGGTGTCCATGGGCGGCGGTAGGTGCTTACCATCAGGTGACCCGTTTGCTCGTTTGCTCCCTTATGGCATAAAAAAAATGTTCATTATGAAATAAACATAAACTAAGAGAGGTTATTAATATAGAATATCTACCGCAGAATCAGTAGAAAATATATCAAAGAATTTGATAAATCTGGAACAAGGTCTAAACAGATTAAACGTAAAGGTACATCAAAGAAAATGGCTACTTCCAATAAATGATATTTCAAAGGATTGAAGTGGAGCTTTAGATATAAACAAAACCATTATCGGATTCCATCGAAACACAATGACCAATAAAATCTATTGATGTATTTGTAGAAAACACTCGACAATTTTTCTTTTTTGCCTATTTTCGGTACACACATTACGAGTACACACAATGACAACTTGACTGCACGGATGGCGTAGTGGTTTAAGCAGTCGCCACGCCGCTTCCGACTACACCGAGTTTTGTGGGTTCAAACCCCATATAGGACGACACTTTGTATGATACACAAATAGTTGTTCTGAGTCTGGGTGTTCTTTGTGTCCGTTTAATGTATGTTTGTAAAGGCACAGTTTGTACCAGAAAGTTAAAAAAAATTTAAAACACTTGAATTTTTTTAAAAGCATTTAAGAATCTTTCTTTTTGTAGTTAAACCACACACACGTAGTGGATATATTTTTAACCAAAAGACCTGTAATACTGAGAACTACATCTCAATAAAAATCAGAAGCCTAACATTACTAGCAAAACAACGAAAACTTGGCATCCTTTTTAAACACATTAACCTTCATCAACATCTAGTCCACTGCTGGACATAGGCCTCTCCTTAAAAAGGAGGTTTTGGTCTACTACACCACGCTGGCCAGACGGGTTGGAAAGGGTTTGTGTCAAGTTTTCCTTCTCTCTGCAGTGCTGTTGTCCTCTGTAGTTTGCTCCCTTAGTCGCCTCTTACGACACCCACGGGATGAATGGGTGTGATGACACTCTGTATTCTTAATCCGTCACCACACGGATAACCTTTGACCTTAATATATTCAAAATAACGAGCAGAGGATTTTTTTTAATTAATACTAACATAGGGATCCCTAATAGTGACAGTACTAGATTATACACCGATAGATATTACTAAAGCACGGCTGTCGTAGTCGTTTAAGCGGCCATCTCATCGCTTCCTACTGCGCTGAGAGTTGTGGGATCAACCCCACATGGAAAAAAACTTTGTGTGATTAACAAATCGTTGTTCTGAGTCTGGGTGTTCTTTGTGTCTGTTTCATGTATGTTTGACAAAGACAGAAGTTCCCGGATCCCTCCTATTACAGGCGCAGAGTGGCACTCCGTGTGGTTTTAGTCGGTCCGAGTCCGATACACCACCCCGCCGCTAACCCCGGTGGGGTGACGGCCCGAGGGGGTTTCCACAGGTAAAAAAAGGCGTCTGTCTGACTGGTGGATCCTGGTCCAACAGTACTCGTTGAAAATTTTTATGCGAACTAATCCGTGTTTAAACTTCAAGCGCGAGATACAGAATCGATAATTAGTATCTAGCCGTGCTAATCTCAAATAGATATCTCTGAACCATGTATTCTATCAGATAACTGCACGCTACGTTTCTCATAGCTTGTATAATGGCAAACAGTAGACTACTACTTAACTACCATAAGCGTCACTTTCTTTAAGTAATTATTGACTGATTACTTTAAATTATATATGTAGTTGTATCGCCGCTACGAAAGCAAGCCTCAAGTGTGTCCAAGGAACGTGACAATACGTAATTACTATTAAAATCGATAATACGCGAGTGGTTATGTGTGAATAGTGCCATCGAATCGAATAAATACTTATAAAAA